CCTGTGTGCACATGCCCTGTGATATCATCATATCCTAGCAACCACTGCCGTCCCGCCCCCTCCTTAATTTATTCAGTGGTATGCGATTTGATGCCCTTCCCTCTTTCATCTCCTCTTTCTGTGTCTTGTTCTCCTCTCCTTCTCTTCTATGACTTGCTCTCTTTGTTTCTGGCTAAATCCTCTTTTTTCTTTTTTCTTTTTGGGCCCCGCCCATGGCTGTTCCTGACCCTGCCCCCCCCCCCTGATATTTATGATCTCTTGAACTGACCCCCCCTGCCCCCAATCAGGTACACCCCGCCCTCTATGCTCTCCTGCAGATGCTGTACCCCTGTGGTGGAGGATGATCACTGGACTGGCCTTCAGTCTGCCCATCCTTCACACGTCCCGGCAGCTGTGTCCCCCCCCCCCCTTGCTATCTATGGCTGTCACATACCGTCCACCTGATTGATACTATGTTTATGTCCCCTGCTTTTTTGTGTTTGCTGGTAGCTAGAGGTGACAACAGAGGGAGGGTGAAATACTCTCCCGCGTGTTGGGATGTTTGTCGTGGTTTGCCGGTCAGGCCTTCCCTGTTCCTGAGCACGCATGAAATCGGTATGTGGTCAATTTTAATCTGTCTTGCCCAGGGGCAGGGGAGGGGCTTGTTTTGCCAGTGAGACCTGAGGACTCGGCATGTCGAACGTAAAGCAAGACGGTGCAGAAGAATCTCAGGTCCCGGTAGCTTTTAGGTCACCACTTGCTGGGCTAAAGCCTGGCAGATGAGGCCCGATGGGAAATGGAGATTCTGGAAGTAGAAGACGACAGTGAGCCTTCTGTGTGCAGGATGCACTGCAATGTGAGCTTGAATTTCCTAAGTGATGATGGAGATATTTTTGTACATTTGCATGAGTTTGAATACCTTGCATATTTCTTTCACTTATCAAGAACAGACTCGCATGAGAATTAATCAAGTTCTGTAGGACCGTTGTGTGGCTGCATGTCTCCCTCCTGCAACCTTTTACTTGCTTTTCTCAATCTTATATCTCCCCAGCACTAATATACATACCATTAACTTGATTCTATTGATACACCCTCAGGGTTGGTCACTCTCTTGGGCCTAGTAGGAATTCTATGTGTATGGCTGTATTGTCATTACTGTGTGCAGTGTGCTTCCAATAGGAAGCTTGGGTGTACTTTGGATGGGGTGTGTGCTCTGCTCGACCCCAACCCTCCCCACCCCTTTTGACGAACATTTCATTAATCTGGGTGCGGACTGTTGACTATCACCTTTCAACAGTTCTGGTTTCTCCTTGTTAAATGACTTCAACTTGATTGTGTTTTGCAAAGCACTGAGATAGCGGCGGCTTCTGTACTGACTCACAGCATGGGTGGTAGAAGTGCTAAGCTTGTGGTCTTATCCCAGAAGATAACCACATCTTGGGTGAACGGAGTGGCAGCTGAAGACAGTTGAATTTTGGCTTTCCGTTGGTTTGAATATCCAAGTAATGTGCATTGTGCAGCTATGCAAATACTGAAGGGGACACTAAATAAAATAAAGGAGTTCTTTATTGTCCTTCAAGCACAGCTTTCTGAGGTTGTGCACAGGAAGTGATCACTGCTGGCTTGTTCCACAGCAGAGCTCAGTTAGAATTTTATAACTCCACCTGTTTTTCCCAGATAGATTTGAATGATTGTTTTATCGAGGTTCGTTTCAAAGCCCGCCCCTGTCCCGATTTGCACATGTATGATTTTTCGTGTTTCTTTATGACTGCCTGCGAGGCACGACATCAGTGTCTGCGTTGTATTCACTTAGCAGATGCTCTTGCTCGGCATGATGGGTAGACTTGAAAAACAATTTGGGCTTTGTTGTCACTTAGCCCAGGGAGGAATGACCTCACAGCGTCAGTGTTAAGGTTACCTAAGGGAGTATATATTTATGTTTACTTTCAGTATTTGTGTGGCAAAATCTGTGTCATCCAAAATTGTAGGCTGAAGTACTGTCTCAAAAGTCAAGTCTGTGTTTAACTAGGGAGGTGATTCACTGGTTGATAATGGTAGCGAGCTTACTTCACCCTTGAGGGGGGTGGAGATAAAAGGTATCCCCATTAGCCTGATGACCAGTGGTTGGCAGTTCATGGTCGTTTACACCCTCAGCTGTCCGGCGATCACACTGTGTTGACCTTTCCTCAGCCAGCCAATTCTCTCTTGGGCTCTGGACATTTGGCCAGATCATGCCAGGCACTCGGTATGTGAGGGATGTGGCTGCCGCACGACTGAAAGGTCTTCAGTAGCTCCAGCCTTTCTAGGACACCTCAAATTACCCAGTGTCTCTGATGTGGGGAAACTGTCCCCAGTGCTCCAAGCCTTTGGTGCACTTCAGGCAGAAATTTGATGCTTGCTTATTAAAATTTTTAATGTTGTACTTTTAAGTTATTTACTTGTTAGCATAAAAGTCTACCTGGGTTCTGCCAACCTTGGTTAATCATTGCTATTACAGATCCGTCACACCCTGTTTTTGCGATCCGTGTGTGTGTTTAATCAGGTTATCGGCAAAAGCTTGATTCAGTTTACGGTTGTTAATTTGTTTGCCTAACAAATAAGTAGTAAAAAGACCTGGCTTGTGTTTAAAGCCTATGTGCCGGCATCATTTACTCAAGACGTATGAGTCTTGTCTTTGTAGATGTGACACAGCTAGCTTTCAGTAGGTCTACTTCTCCGTGCAGTACACCCTTTGTAGACCGTAATCATTTTCCTGATGATACCTTCTTGATCTGCATAGCTGTGTTTGAACTTGAGTTGGTTGTGCGACGTTTAGCGGCTTAAAGTCAGGAGTGCAGGACTGCTTTTCCTAAACTCAGTAAAAATTGTGAGAATCTGCATGTGGATGGGTTACACACTGGGTTGGTATGACTAAGAAATAAGAGATGATCCCCTTGGCTCATGTAGTGATTATTGCCTTGGCCAATTCAAAATGTGTTATGGCTATTCCAGGTCCTGCAGTGATGAAATCTCTACACTTGGTAGGGTAAATATTTTTCAGTAAGTACTGATGTGTCTGCTTGGCTGTGAAGATTGCTGTAGGGTGCCAGTTGTTAGATTTGACCCTTTTGATCACAATGTCCTCTAGACGATCCTCTAGAGATGAGGGGATGGGAGTGTTCTGGGAGCAACTATCAGGGAAAGGGTGAGGTTTCTGCACTTGTCTTTTTTCTGGATGATTTAGCTGGTTAATTACATGTGGTGGATAATGTAGAGATTGGAGTCTACCTCTTTGTGGTCCAAAACTACTGCTGGACTAAGTGGTAGGTGCTGGGTCATACTCAGCAGTTATACCCTGTAATGGCAGGGTGAAGCCGTATTTTTCTCTGATGATTTTAGCTTGAATCACCGGTAGAAGGTGTGGGATGATGACATGGGGAGGAATGTCAGCACCAGCTCTTAGTGCACCTACGAGTTGGCCGAGCAGTTGAGACATGTGTCAAAGATCGGCACTGTCCCTTGGTCATTCATTCCATCCCTGTAAATCGTCAGAGAATAACTTTCAGTCCCTTGTTGTCTGGAATTTGTTTTCTGTGGGATCCTGCTTGCAAATAGGATAATTTGCCCCACGCAGTCATTGGCTAAATGGTGTAGCATCTCATCTGCAATAGCCTCCTCTCTGCTGGTCCTTCCGCTAATCAATCCAGTAGCACCCATAATCATAAGGTGGGATTGGAGCAGACAGCTGTTTGTGCAGATTGCACAGCACACTAAACAGATATGCAATGGATGCTGCTCTCTTCCAACATGGCATTTGTTTGTGTGCCACCGGATCTAACCCGTAATTACAATGGATGGATAAGGAGTAACAGACTTCATAATGGCGGCCGTTCATAATAAACCTAGTTGAACCTTCTCATGAGTATTGTGAACCATAATGGCCGACTATGGTACTTTGGGGTCACCTGCCATGGTCGTCATGGTTGCTAATGCGCGTCAGTCCTTGGTGACCAGGTGACCAGGGTGAGGTGAAGAATTAAGTTTACCGCAGCTTTTACAAGAGCGGCCCCCCCTCCCTTCCACCACCACCACCACAGCCCTTATAGGCACTCCAGTTTCCACTTTCCCCAGTTCAAGTGTGACAAAGTGTGTTTTCCTGCCTCGGGGGCCCAGATGTAGCGACCAGTGTGTTGAAGGAG